AGGAGCTCAGTGTGAGCCCCAAAATGAGGGTGTCAGTGCCCCTAAATGAAGATTTCAGAGCCCCAAAATGAGGATCTTGGTACCCCAAAACAAGGATCTCAGTGCCCCAAAAATGAGAGTCTCAGTGTCCCAAAATGAAGATTTCAGAGCCCCAAAATGAAGGTTTCAGTGCCCCAAAATGATGATTTCAGAGCCCCAAAATGAAGATTTCATGTCCCTGGAGCTGGAGCTGTCAGAACCCAAGGGGGAGAAGGAAAAGCTTTGTGCTGTTTGAAGGCCTGGGCAGCGAGTCAGAAATGAGATTTTTCTTGGTAAGAGTTGAACTTCAGCGAGTCAGAAATGAGAATTTTTTTTGTAAAATTTGAACTTTGAAAGGTCACACAGCTCAAAGGCACAGAGACTGAACTCCCTTATCTCCAGCCTTGTCCAAATTCACCAACCCCTGCTGCCAATTCACTCTGAGAAGTGCAAAGCACCCAAAAATGGCAGGAATGTCCTTTTTTCCTCCCTTTTGGCCTGTGGCAGAAAACACTTGATCTGTGTGCAGAAATCAGCCAGTTTGTGTGTACGTGTGTGCCCATGGGAGGAATGCAAATGTATGGAAATGAGCCATGGCCTCAATTCCAAGCGTGCAATCTGCACTGGTGCTGGCTCAGGAATTGTGCTTGGATGCTCTGCTGGACCAAAACTGGATGGGTTATTCTGATTTTTAACTCCATATCATTCTGAGTAATTTTCAAAGTTTTGATTGGTTTGGGACATTTTCGTAGCTTTTGTCGTTTTTGGTCATTGTCATGGTCTTTGTCATTTTTGGTCATTGAGACGGTTTTGATCATTTTGGGTCATTTTCACAGGGTTTTTTGGTAGTTTCAATAGTTTTCATGATTGTCCCTGCCCTCCCCTTGGAAAGTCTCTGTTGCTCTTGGAGGCTCCATTGGCTGCAGCTGCTGCCAAGCCCTGCATGCGAAGTTTCTGCATGAAATAATGGGCTCACACCCTCAGCCCTGGGCTGGTTCCTATGGAGAAATCCTGGAGCCTCTCCCTGCTCCATTGGAAACCTCAGTCAGCCATAGATCCATGTCTGCATTTTTATTTTTATTTTTATTTTTGTGTTTATTTTAATTTTAATTTTTGTGTTTATTTTATTTTTATTTTTAATATTTATTCTTCTATTTATATATTTATATTATATTTATATTTTTATATTCATAAATATGTGAATATATGAATATATTTATGAAAATAAAATATAAATATGCATTTATACACATACATAAATATATATAAATATATAATATAATAATATATATTTATATATAATATAATGTAATAAAATATAAATATAAATATTTATTCATCTGTTTACAAAAATATATCTTTATATATTTATATTCTATCTGTTTTGGTTTATTTTATTTTATTATCCACATAAATATTTATATCTTTAATATTTTTATTTCTATATTTATATTTATAGTTTTATGTTTTTTAAATTTTATATTTATATAGATAAAGAAAGGATTTTTTTTTTAGAAAATATCATAGCTACAGGCTGTCACTGGGGATGTAAATAGATGTATATATGTAAATATATGTATCATGTATTAGGTAAATAGATATATATGTAAATCAATATTTAGGTAAATAGATATACATATATATATATTTACATATATATAAAATATTTATATTTCTATTATATATTTATATATTTATATCATATCTCTATGGTTAGGTTTATTGTAAATTTTTATATTTATATAAATATAAATATATTTAATATTTTGTATTTCTATATTTATAGTTTTAGGTTTATTTTAATTTTATATTTATATAAATAAAGAAAGGATTTTTCAGAAAAATGTCATAGCCACTGGGGATGTCCCCGTGGCTTTGGGACACCCCTGAGTGACAGAGGGCTGGAGCAGCGTTTGAGGAACAAAACACCAATTTATGATTCTATTTCTCTTTAATCTTCCAGATCATCAAGGAGCCTCCCCCTCCTCCTGCAGAGGACAGCGAGGTGAGT